TAATGATTTATAAGATTTATAAAGAATTGTCAAAGGACAGTCATTGAAAACGTAGATTGTTTTTTTTCTGCAATGTTTCACCGTCATCTTTATGCCCAATAAATAGCGGAATATGCTTGATACCATAAAATTATTAAAAAATGTTAGTGTTTATATAAAATATCAGCACAGTAGACCCCCTTCTACAAGAAAATCAACCTCAAATAGCAGGAAGGCAAGGGAGGAAATTGGTAAATATATTTAGACTTGCAAATGTCACTTTTGATATAAAATTTTACGACGAATCCAAAAATGTAGTATTTAGTATTTTTTGTTGGTCTTGATATCCCATATTAAACGGGCCACCCAGATATGAAATATTTAGGCGTTCTTTTGACTGCTTAAATAGATCATCTTAAAGAATTCAATGCATGCTACCTACACAATAAGAAAATCGTATCTAATTCCCCTAGTCTAATTAAATTTTGTCAGCAAAGGCTGATCACATTTCGGTTACACAACCACCATTTGCAGTAAAATATATTGTTAATACTGCGAAACTTAAGAAGATTTCTTCGTGAAATTACACTCGAGAAGAATATCCACATTAAACAAATTATGAAGCATTAAATAAAATTCAGTCAAATAAAAAAGTTATTGAATAGCATGTTATAAAGTATATTATAAGGAGTCTGAATAAAACGTGTATACAGATGGATGCAAAATAAGCCAATATTTAATTTTTCTTAAAAATTTATTTAAAAACAAAATTGACTGCTCAGAACTATTGGAACAACTGGCGTTACTGGTACCGCCCAGTAAAATAGTGTGGTGTTGTACAACATTTCAGCAGATGAATTTTTTTAAAACCAAATTGTAATAAAATTTTTTTTTGTAAGTTAGTAAGTATACTCGTCTACATATTTATATTTGTTAATGAATGTTTTTGGTTTCATATATTTCATATTTATACGTACACTTTAGTTGAGTTGTTTAGTCTACTAATTAAACCAAGTTTTTAAAAATAAGTTACCATTATTAAGAGTGGGACGGATCCGCGACTAGAATGATAATTGCAGCACTGCCACTGCTGGATCTTCTGTTTCACTCATAATAATTGATACAATTGTTTAAACCTAGTCATTCGATATAATATGGACACAGTCTAAGTTTCTAACAATGTGCTCAAATTGCAATAACCTATAGGTTAGACCAGATATTTTCCATTGTAGTTTTAACAAAATCAAGAAATGAATCTGCAGTACTTTTGGTTATTAAATATTAATAGATTCGCTTCCTCAATAATGACGATGTTTGTGCATATATACGTTTTGATTCAAGGATGGAAAAATGTGATGACACTATATTCCGGGATATCATCCGTGTGTTCGAAGTGTTTTCGGAGCGCGAGCATTGAAGATGCCAAGTGAGATTTTGGCGAAACGTCTGCAGGATTCCAGCCGGAGTTCAACAAGCGAACGAATGATATCCCGGAATATAGTGTCATCATATATATATATATATATATATATATATATATATATATATATATATATATATATATATATATATATATATATATATATATATATATATATATATATATATATATATATATATATATATATATATATATATATATATATAATGTTCGACTATCGTCTTAATACCCTGCACAAAGTTCGTCATCCCTTTGTTGAAACTTTAACCTCATATCCCACCCTCCAAATTAATTGATGGGCATTAAAATTTCTTGAGAATGAGTTTCAATATTATCTGCTCCACTAACTTACAAGAGCAGTTCACGTAAAATTGATTTTGACTCTTTTGGAGCGACCTCATTTACAGCCGACCACGCCTTCACTCCTATAATTACAATATAGCAATTATATAGATCCGAAGTTTGGCTCGACCTTATCCCAGAAACCACTCATAAACAACATCTAATAAAGAAAGTTTTGAAACTAAATTAAACTAGACGCAACTTCAAAGAGTTATACAGCTAACCAATAAATCCGGGAAGCCGCAGAAGGGCTTCAGATGGAACTCATCAAACAGCGTGATGATGAATGTTTCCCGGTTCGATAATTATTTCTTTGTGTGATTTTGATTTGGACGTAATCGAAATCGCGATAATGCGTTGAGATTGCCGATGTTACTATCGGTTTGCTGAAAATCACAAAGTTCAATAATCTTCAATTACTCCTTATAAAATAAAGGGCTTGTTAATACGATAGCTTTATGTGAAATTGTTATTTGTTCTTCAAGAACAATGAAAACGTGAATTTTAATTCAGTATCAAAAAACGACAGATATTGTCGTATAGTAGGAATTAGGTTACGGTATGTCCTATCCAATATAACCTCTAAAGTAGACGCTCTGAAATCAATTATTCGAAAATTCCAAGTCATTTTTGTTTTCCTATTTTTGGAGTTAAGTTTGCATATTATGCAACAAATGTGGTAAACGGCATATGAGTGTCTACTTTATTTGGCATAAGCGAAGCGCAGCGGAAAGATTGTTTAATAAACGAGTGACTTAAAAAGTTTACCAAATGTGTTGCATACTATACTTTTTCTACGACCGTTGGTTTCTAAAAGTTTTTGCAAAACAACCCGACTACATTCACTGACATGACCGTCAGAATTGACAAACGTCAATAAATATTCAAGCCGTGATGTAATATCTCCCAAAACATCCGATCGCTCCATGAGAATCAAAATTACAGAAGGCAGTAGAAAAAATTGTTTTATTATTATGAGTTTATGTAAGTAATTAATATGAGCAGTTGAAACCAGCTGCAGTCTTCTGTAAAAGAAACGAACTTCCTTGCCGGACGTGCCTGTGAAATCTTTAAATTGGAGGTACTCCACAACAAAATATTATGATTGAGTTCAACATGCCTAACACAAATGTCGCTGGTTTCGCATTTTATTCTGAACGTTTTCATTAATTGAGAAAGCTTTTGTAGAATAATAAAAGTAAGCCATTTTAGATTTGTTACCATTACATTTACGAATTTGAAAGTTATTTTGACGTTGCATGCAGAGGATGCTTGTTTCGCCATATTATTTTATTTCATTTAGGACTATGGTTAGTTCAGATGGAAATCTGACAGAATATCTATCTCTGTCGGTTTAGAATGAAAAAATGCAACGTATTTTTTTATTTTTTTTATTAACACTTAAAAGTCGAAAAGCTACTGGGAGACCAAAGAAACCAATATTTAACAGTAACAATTTCGGTAATAGTTATAATTAAAAATTTAAATCAAATGCTGCAATTTTTCAATATTTACTTCAATGCCTTTTTCAATACATTAATGTTGATTGAATATTAATCAAATTTTCTCTAATTTCTAACAGTATTCGCAGCTTCTTGTGTCTGTATAATTCGGCTGCTGCAAAGAATTCAATCCAAAACCAGTGACCAAAAGTTTACCAAACTTGTTGCATACCATACTTTTTCTCCCACCATTACTTTTTGGGTACATTTTCGCAAAACAAGACAAATACATTGTGTAACATGACCGTCAGAATTGACAAATGCCAACTTTAAAGTAGTAGGAATATCTCCGGTCTATAATTGGGCATTTAACAGAAGGTAATAGAAAATGGTATATTATACAACAAGTGTGGTAAACGGCATTATCGAATGTCAACATTTATTGTGCTTAACCACTTTTTCCATTGCTCGGAAACATTTGTAACATTTCATCCAGTTCCAGATGGAAATTCAAATCTCACCCATCCTTGTTCACTTTCGAACCAGAATGCAACAAGAGGCATGTGGCATATTCTGCCAATTTTTATAATTATACTATAAAAGCTAAACATCTCAATTAATGAAAAAAGTAAATAATATTTATCTGAACAAGTATATTATATATATATATATATATATATATATATATATATATATATATATATATATATATATATATATATATATAATAAGCTCGAGTGTTCGAAGTGTTTTCGGAGCGCGAGCATTGAAGATGCCAAGTGGGATTTTGGCGAAACGTCTGCAGGATTCCAGTCGGATGCAGGATTTGCAGGATTCCAGTCGGAGTTCAACGATCGAACGGATGATATCCCGGAGTATAGTGTCATCACATTTTTCCATCCGTGAATCAATACGTGAGAATATATATATATATATATATATATATATATATATATATATATATATATATATATATATATATATATATATATATATATATATATATATATATATATATATATATATATATATATATATATATATATATATATATATATATATATATATATATATATATATATATACATATATATATATATATATATATATCCTGCACACTATTTTGCACCCACCAACATGCACCGCACATTACACACATTAAAATAAATTTAAAACAAGACGACTTGCATTGCCGGATTGTATTCTCTTTTTCTCTCAACATCTAGTCACTTTTTCCCATCACCAAATAGGATATATTAAAAAAGAACCTACATATATTTCGATTATTATCAACTGTCGAAGAGTTTTCAGAGGATGCACTGAGTAAAATATTAAATTTTATTATCTGTTAGTCGTTTTATGAGTTTTTCCTTTAAAAAAAAAACAAAACATCTTGGAATGAAGGAATAGTGTGTTAAAATGTTATTCTTGTAAAAACAATTTAGAAACACTAAAAACAAAATTGGATTCCTCTATTTCAAGTATTATCAACTTTCGAAATCAATACGTTTGGTCAAATTGCTACTTTCTCTATGTTCATTGAAAAAATTAAATTTGACAACACAGAGGGAAGCAAAATGGTGCACTGAATGAAAAGTATAAATAAATGGAGGCAATTTAATGCTTGGTGTAGACGGAGTATACCATATAGTATATTTTATTTATTTCACTGCGCGCATCATTTTGCTTACATTTACGGAAAAACTAGACAGCGTCGCTGGGCGATATTCTAAGGTTAAATCATAATCTCGGATGCATATTAGTTATCCAGCTCGCATGGTTTAAGTATGTGCAAAATGGAGAATGAAGTAAAACAGGAGATTGAAAGGGTTGAGGTAAGTTATTATTCTTTTATGTAATAAAATCAGAGTCAAGATGTTAAATTGTTAACTAAGAAAAATGCTGATATTATATTTTAGTAACTTTTGCAGGGTGATTTTTCGTCACATTCTACATTCGACGATAGCGATGCCGACCCAGAATTTTTTCCAGATAGATCGTCGTCAGACTCAGAAATAGAGATCTGTAAATTTAAGAAGGTAATAATAAATAACTTGGACGACTACCCAAGAGCAAGAAACTTTCCGCTAAAAAACAAAACAATTCTTTGCTTTGATCCTTTAATTATTTTTTGTTTTTCTTGTGTTTGACTTCTTTTCACATACACTTTCTCAGTATATTTTCAAATAAGTGAGGGAGTGTTAAACCATACCTTGGAAGTTATAGGTTTCTTTTTGTGGTAATTTAACAAGGTATCTTGCAATATAAAAAAATATATTTAAAGCATATCGTAACATTTTGGTTGCAAATCGTCGGTTTCAGTCAATTTTTTCAAAACTGGTTCAGTGATTTAGAGGCTTTATCGTAGTATAAACAAGAATGTCTTCACTTTGCTTTGTCATGTTATTTTAACATTCTATAACCTGGTTTTCATTTACAGAAAATTACGGTTTTGCAGAATATTCGAGTGCAAAATTCAGAGGAATCTCAACCAGACTCTGTAAGTATTGTCAGCTATTGGTGGCGTATATTTTACGGATTAAGAACCGTTTCAGGACGAAACCACGGATACAAAAATAAACACAATTAAAGCGTTGAGAAATACAAAAGAAAATAAAAAATATACTAGGAAAAAGGACTTGTGCTTCTTTTGCGAAAGCGATGTTCAAAATTTTCATCGACATATCGAAAGGAATCACCCGTATGAATTAGAAGTATTGCAAATTGTTTCCAAACCTAAAAAGAGTGAGGAAAGGAGAAAACTTTTAGCCCTATTAAAAAAGAAGGGCAATTTTATTAAAAATTCCGAAGCTTGTGTCAAACCGATGAAAGAAGCACGGGAGCCAAAGAACTCATTTTTGCCATGCACAAACTGCTGGCAAAAATGAGATTTTACAGATCGAAATTTTTATATCGACACACAAAGAAATGCACAGGGGCTACTTCATCAAAAAATGCTCAAGTTGCAAGTCAAAACTTTTTGATAAAAAATTTGACCCGAATTGACCAACAATTAAAAGATCAGGTTTTTCCTAGAATGAGACCTGATAAGATTTCTTTAGAGGCAAAGAATGACTTTTTAATATGTGCCTTTGGAGCTCGTTATCTTAAGACACATCGCGAAAAACATTTTATTAATGTTACAAGTAGAAAAATGCGAGAGTTGTTAAGAATTTTATTAGAGCTTAAAAAAATGGATCCAAACATAGCAAACCTATTTGAAGCATTGCACCAAAGCACTACGATAAACTGGTGGAAGCTACAAAATCTGTAGCAAGATTTGATAGCATTAAGGAAGTGTTTGTAGCGCCCACATATGCTATGAATATTTCCACATCTCTGAGACAGTGTTGCGATATTGCAACTTATATGACCATAAAAAGTGAACCATCAGTTGAAACGGCAAATATTGAATCTCGATTAAAAACGATGGTAAATTTATTAGCATCTAACTGGCGATTTGATATATCGAGTCGAGCTGGCAATGATCTAAACATCAGTAAATTTAATAAAATAACAATTGTTCCCCTAGCGTCTGATCTAAAACTTCTAAAAGAATACTTAATGTCTACTGCAAAAGAAGCTGCCAATTTACTCTCTGCAAATGCAATGAATGTCAATGCCTTCTTAATTTTGATGGAGACAGTGTATTGTAGAATTATTTTATTGAATAGAAGGAGACCAGGAGAATTACAGCGGTTATTAAAGGATACTTACGTTGCTTCAGAAAAATCATCCAACTCTTACGAAGAATTTAGTGAAGTTATGTCGAAAGCAGAAAAAAATTTGTTACAACACTTTAAAAGAATAGTGATTAGAGGAAAGAGGGGAAGAGGAGTGCCAGTCATATTTAGTCACGATGTGCAGGTACATATTGATCAACTACTACAGGCGAGATCAAATTTCGTCAATGACAACAACCGCTACCTTTTTGCAAACCCAAACACGAATACTCCAATATGTGGCTACAAAGTTGTTGCAAAATATGCTAAAGGTTGTGGCGCTAAGAATCTTGAAGCTATAACATGTACAAGGCTACGAAAACATCTTGCAACGCTAACACAATTATTCAATCGAACCGAAAATGAAATTGAACAACTGTCAAATTTCATGGGCCATACATCCAACGTGCACAGAGGATCATATAGATAGCCAGACGATGTCTATCAGACAGCAAAGATATCCAAGCTTCTTCTTTTAATGGAAAAAGGAGAGGCAGGTGTTCATAAGGGGAAAAGATTGGCCGAAATTACAATTGATTTAGTAGAAAATCTTTCAAATGAAAAAACTAGTGAAGATGAAGATCTAGAAACTTCGACGAAAACAAGTAGGAAAACGGAAAAAGAAACAAAAGATATGGATCAAATCGAAGAATTAATCCAGGACGTAAAAAAACAGAAGGAAAAAGCATTAGTTTAGAACCAGTTTTAGAAGTAAAGGACAAAAAGCGAAAAAGGATTTTGATTCCCTGGACAGAAGAACAAAAAAATGTAGTTACATTCTATTTTTCAAAACAAATAAAAATAAGAAGGCACCCAAAAGATGTCAATGCCAAGAATTGAAGGAACTATACCCAGCGTTGCTTCAAAATAAAGATTGGCATAAAATTAAAGTTTTTGTACAAAATCAATATTAAAAAAAAATAAATAAATAAATAAAATAAATAATTGTGTACTCGAAAAACGTTTTATTTAGTACATGAACCACCAATGATTTTTTAAAGAAACGTCGGCATGCTGTCGACGGTAGATTGACTCCTTCTAGATTTTTCCTCGGTTAGGTATGGTCGCTGACAACCAAAATCTGTGGAGAAGAAATCCAGCAGAAGTCAATGTACAACCAGCTTTCAATAAAAAAGCAAAATAATGCGCTGGGTAGAACGAGTACTATCTGGCGTAGGCCGTCGCTACCTCGAATTAAATTGCTGCCGGTGAGATTTAGTTGTCATTCAATGAATCATGTTATTGAGAGCTCCAAAAGACAACAACAAAAAAACAATTGAATTAGGGCAAATGGTGGATTGGTAATGCCTCAGTGTGCTGACAGTGTGTGAGAATGGGACTAGTGGTGACCTGTATGTATGTATAGTCCTAATATATCAAAAACTGACATGTAGAATATTTTGACTTGTACAATTTTTTATATGAGTAATACGTTTGTTATCTTTCTCAAGTAATATACAGTTCATCAGGAGGTTTACTTTGCACCCGCCTATGTGGTTACGTGCGAAGTAAATATTATAGACTTGGCAACATCTGTGGAGTCAAAATAATTTTATAATGTGCCGTATATTTTCCCTCCAGAAGAATACGGATGCAATTTGTTTTAGTATATGAAAGAAAATTATACAAAAAGGACGCAAATTAGATATTTTGTACTGGATGTAAAAAACTTTGTAACTTGAAAAAAAAATGTATATTTCAATTTTTGAGTTTTCGGAAAATAAAGTACATTACGTTTAACCTATTTTTTTTCTCTTCAATATACATGCAGTACATATAGTGTAGCATGCTTAATTGCAAAGTTGCAGAGTAGTCGCAAAGTGAAATGATGCAAAATAACCCCGGGATGTAAATATATATATATATATATATATATATATATATATATATATATATATATATATATATATATATATATATATATATATATATATATATATATATATATATATATATATATATATATATATATATATATATATATATATATATATATATATATATATATATATATATATATATATATATATATATATATATATATATATATATATATATATATATATATATATATATATATATATATATATATATATATATATATATATATATCAATTATAATATTTTGGTGTCTAGTATCACCCATTTAGATGAATCGCCCTGTATATATAATGTCTGAGAGAAAATCAAATAGATAATCCAAAAATTGTTATTGGAAGCATACTAGAAAATTTTAAAAATGCATTTTATTCGACTATCGAAATATTTGTGCCAAATTAAGAGACGTCACTAGAGCATCTAAACGGGAAATATTTCAAGCATGGACAACGTTTTTAAATTATGTAACAATTGATCCTGAATAACTCAATAGTTTAAATTGCCAGGTTGATAGTACACTAGATAACATTGATATTTGACTGTCAATCTTTGCAATATTGCACTATTGTGTAAACATTATTGTTGCTATAATTAGCCAACTTCTTTTTTACTAACTTTGTGGAGTCCTTGATATTTATAATTGCTGTAACTCAAAGTTTTAAGTAAATGGAGAACAAATTACTAAAATAATTCTTGAATGGAATGGAACGTTTATCGTTTTGCTCTAGATTCATGATAAAACCCGTCTTGATAAGCGAAAGTTAGAATGCAGTGTTAGTACAGTGAGCCCATTTTTTATTGCATAGACATTGTGGTCTCTTAAGTGATTGTGTTGGTTGCTAGATTTACCATTACTTTGATATTGCAGATACGTATTACGCTCCAGGATCACAAATGGTAGTTTTAAAGTTCATTTATGAAAATATTCAATCGAGTTGTCGTTTTAAACTTTCACGTTCTTCTGGAGACAAGGATTGCTATAGAGAACTTACGTATAGACAACTGAACGTTTCAAGATTTATTTCTTTTGTTGTGACTTTACGGTAACCTATCTACAATCCTCCAGAGTAAAATATTTTTTCATCCACATCCACAAACGGATCGATATGGTGAAAAATACTCCCGACAGAACGGGAAAGATAGGCGTTAGGCCTCTCCAAGCAGAAAAGAGATTACACGGGAGTAAATGCGACCGGCTGCCCATTACTGGCATTAATGAAAATCGGTCCCCTCGAAAGGGATGTCCCTCGGTTTCTACGGGGCCCGGGGAGATAAAATCGAAAGGATGCGCCGATGCTGAGAGTGTTTTTATGTTAGCTTTCAAACGAAATTGTCAGATTCGTCTCATTTAAATGTGAAATGTCATTTCATTAGCTTCACTCGGATGGCACGAGGTTTTTTTGTCGGGGTGTATTGTGAAAACCAAAGTGTTACTTATCTTTTCGGTTTAATGATCGAGTTGACGAGTTACTATTTACGATGTAACACCGACCCGCCTGTCACTACTAATTTGATGTTCAGTGACTTGTAGTATTAATTCAGTGTTGAGGGAACATTTCCTAGTCCTCCCGTTTTCTTTTCTCTATTCTTAACTTAGAGTTTAAGAAGAGAAAAACCACGGCAATGGTTTTACGCTGTTTAATGTGTGAAATAAATTGCTACGTTTCCTGATTTTCACAGGTTTTACAGACGTTTTTGAAACAGTTACCTATACTTCATGATAAACCCCATGCTATCTCGCAAATAAAATGTGATTGGGACACAACTGCAGTCCACGAAATTTCAATCTCACTGCCGTTGTCTAACGGTGCGCAGCTGGCTACGAGATGTATTAGAGTTTTCTCTTCTTCTATAAACTGTTACATGTGCCATAGTCGACCACCCATGACATGAAAGTGCCCTTCTTAGATGGCAGTTTTCTGAAAAGATTCCTGGCAGCCTTCGCACTCGCGAGGAACTGAGACTAAGAGACCAGAGAAAACTGTTTTCCGAACCATTTACTCCGCTTGCTGTTTAACATAATCTGCGCTTTTTCAGCTTGAAGTTTCGGTCTAACCTGCGCTCATGTCGCTCAATCAAGACGAGATAAAAAAAATTACAGTCAGTCTTATCAATGTTTTTCGGTAGTCAAGTAGCGGAGAAGTTCAATCTTAGCTCTTGTATTGATGCAATATTACTTGAAAAACTGGTCAAGTTGACCAACGGAAAGCGTTGTTAGAAGTTGCATTTAAAATAACCTTCCATTTCCGGTTTTGGTTGCTCGGCTGATCCATTTGTGTTATCGATGTTTATGTTAGTGGTAGCATTTTCAGCTTCTGACATTACTGCATAATAGCCATGCGGTTAACTTACTTTGATTGATTCGTTAAAACGCGAGCTGCCTATAATCGTGCGTGAAAATCAACACCAAATGCAAAGTGCAATGAAAAATTTTGGTTTAGACGCCATTTACAAATAGAAAATCCAAAAAATTTTCCTAAATAGGTAATTACGTCACATCCCGCAGTCGACAATGCTCCATGCTTCATAAACACAATTGAAACAAATAAAAACAATGCAACGTAAAATAATAAATAGTTGGGGAAACGCTGTTTGTTTTAATCAACAAAATTGTTCCGTTATTTGCTTAATGCGTTAATGGCATTGCTGTAATTGTATTAAATCCCATGCATGACATGTGATGCATGAAGATGACGCGTTGTAAAATACTCGTTTATATGCTAAAAGCTGATTTCGTTAATGAAAATAGTCGAAAGTTAATTACTGAGTTAGTTGAGGCGAAATGGAACCACATTGAAGATGAATTGCCATTACGTAAACGGTAGTCTATGTGCTTCAATCCACCGGAAACTTTTTACTTCAACAATCCGTGCCATTTTTACAAAAATTATTAATTCTATGGAGCATCAACTATGGAGCTCTTTCTTATGTTGTCGGCCTTCCTCGAACACAGTTTTCACAAATTATAGTGTAGGAAAAATGTATTATCTTATTTAATAGGGGCGAATAGAAATTAAAAATCCGTGGCCTTTTTACAAGAATTATTACATCTATGGAGGTTTGGACGCGGATTAGAAATGTGGATTCCCCGAAAACAGTTTTCATAAAAGATAGTGTGAGTTTCAAGAAAATTTTATGCCGATGAATGAAAATGTTTTAGAAAGAGTCTACAAAAAGTAGGAGAAAAGTTTCTATATCCAACTATACCAAAAAAAAATTCCCAAATAAAAATTTTTAAACTCTCCTGGAAACTAGCAAACTCGAATTTGGCTCGCTCTGTACCGACTGATGAGCTAAGGAAACGGCGGGGAGGTGGAAGGGAGGGGGGAGTGAGATACTTGAGAACTAATAGTGGAACGGGTTACTAGTAATTTCGAGACACCCCTAACACATCATAACTCTGTTTTTTGCTACCAAAATTGAAAATTTAAATTTTTGTAGTTGTATCTCATGCAAGTTAAAAAAAGAGTAAAAACAGTTTCTAGTTATTAGTAGAAATATTTCGAAATTGGTGTGATTTGCCGGAATAGAAAAAGAAAACACTTCATATCCCTCAGCGTCATTAGTATTTGACTCCTAGTTTTTTTTGCTTACGATTTTCTGTACAAAATTTCAACATTTAGTAAAACATTTTGTTAACTAAGAATGTCAATATAATTGATGAACAACATGCAACACGAACATCCGGTTTGCTTAAAGTTGGTAGACAATATATAGAAATACTAATAGATTGTCGAACTTCCATTGTCTTTTTTTGTTTGTATTTGTTTTTAGACAAAATTTCCTGGCCACTTTTTGAAAACTTTTTATCCTAGTCCA